TTTTTTTTTTCTACTTTCAAATATTGTTGTTAAACAATGCTTAACTTTACTGATTTTTTGACACATCGGTGGTGGACCTTTTTAACTCCGGACCTTCATATATTACTATCTATTCCTCGATGAATTCTGGGAAATTATAACTGGGAAAATGTTATTAGACAAAATGTCCATTTAATCGATTGGATTTAATCATCCAAATTTAGGTTCTGAATTTAATAACGTAAATAAAAAATAATATAACCTATAAAATGTTTTATAAATACCAATGAGTCTCTAGGAACACTTGCGGGCCGTTTACTAACGTTTTTGTATTTAAATCAAACTACAAACAAAACTACTTACTACAATTTAATAATAATTAAATAATATTCACGTAAAACATCCTATTAAACGTAATTAAATATCATCTGTCAAAAACGTTTGACATTTGCCACCGTCCATTGTTTTATTTAAATTACGCTTCTACAAAAAATTTCAAATTGAAAATGTAAAGTTTCTACGCGATTTTGAAATATTATCTCACCTTTCCGACCAACTCTGGATTGGCACGAATTTTTCAAGGCTAAGACTGGCTAAATCGTTTAGCCGTTTTCGAGTTTTACCGAATCATTTGATCGAGAGCTCCATTTTTGTATATAAGATATATATACACATTTAATTCAATCCTATTGAAATGCATGCATTCTATGTACATGTATGTAGATTGTAGAGGATCTCTTAGCGATATATATTTCATAATCAACTCACCTGATTCTGATTGCATAATATCTAGTTCTTTCTGGTTTGAAAAACAACATGAAGAATTAAGAAGATTTCTTCCTTGCAAATTTAATTTTGAAGAATTAAATTTAGCACCTGATCTGAGACTATATTTTTTAAATGGGGTACTCGTTGAGTATTTTATTTCTCCATCTGATAAAAGCATTGTACCATCTTGTAGAAGTGACTCAATGTTAGAAGAACCTGGTTGTAGTTAATAAATTATATATATTATATATATATATATACATGTATATATATTAATCTATAATATATATATATATATATATATATATAATACATACCTATATATAATATAATATATATATATATATATATATTGTAGAGTTTCGAACAAGAATCCAAAAAGTAATAAAAAACAAACAAAAAAGTTTTTTAATAAACTATTTCTTTATTTATTTCGACGTTTCGGAACTAGGTAGTTTCCATCTTCAAGACATCTGTCAAGAAACATGATCTTGATGAGATTTAAGCAAACAATATGTTTAAGAAAAGAAAATGGATTTTTTGATTAATAAATTAGTTGAAAAAATAATGTACAGAAATATGATAATATGATCAAAATGAAAATGATAAAAATAAATGAGTGGATTATATAACAGGATCCTGTTTATTATAAAACTTTTTTTTTTTTTATTACTTTTTGGATTCTTGTCCGAAACTCTACAAAATATACACAAGTTCAAGACTCTACCATTTAATATATATATATATATATATATATATATATATATATATATATATAACAAATGTATTCTGAGTGGATAATAGATATTAATTTGGAAATATGAACAAACAACACTCTTTTTAGCACTAATTTATTAAATAATAATTTTCATAAACGTTTCGAGACTAGGTTTGTCTCATCATCAGTGTGTCATAATTTAAAATTTAAAATATGGAAACCTAAATTAGCATTATGTGTTATTCGTTACAAGTCGCTCGATACACTGTCTTCTGCCACACCAACGATCGTCGAAGTCCGAATTCTCTAATCACTTGAAAACCACTTGAAATTCAATAGTCACGCGATAGGAAAGGAAGGATTAGGGTCCAGTTGAAAAATAGATGTCGTTAGGGGAAAAAATATTCTATGAAACAAACGGTTTGTTTATAAAATTTGTTTTAAATTGTTCTAATTAAAAATGTATGTAGATATATATACATACTCATATATACAAATGTATACCCAAAGTACAAAACAACACATATACAACATGCACATACATAGATAAATACACACATATATACATACACATATATTCACATATATATACATATATATACATATATACACACATACATATATATATATACATATATACACACACATATATATATATATACATACATACAGACCTCGGGGCTGAGGAGAAACTGCTACCGGGCGCGTCTCCACGTGTGGATTGGAGAAAGCCCTCCCTGTTCTTGGCTCGCTAAGCCTGCTTAGTGGTTAGGAACATAGGGTAGGAGTGAAATAAAATAGCTACCGTGTGCAAAACTCCCCTACATGTAGGTAGGGTTGGTCACTCCACCTGGCCAAGCAAAGCGGAAGAACGTCAATGATTATGGAGAACAGTAAAGTGGAATCGTTTGAAATCGTTGTGAAAATGATTACTTAATAAATTAGAGCTAAAAAGAGTGTTGTTTGTTCATATTTCCAAATTAATATATATATATATATATATATATATATATATATATATATATGAGTAAATTTTTATAGGGCGATACATAAAAGGAAAAAAAAAGATTTATAAATTAATCTTTAATTTCAAACATTTCAACATTCAATTTAATGTCATCATCAGTGTATATATATATATATATATATATATATATTATATATATATATATATATATGTATTGATTGTTTCTTTTCCGAACAGTAAATCCAATAATAAAAACAATTTGTTTTTGAAGATGTTTAATACGACTTTCGGAACTAGGTACGTTGATGAACGTACTAGTTCCGAAACGTCGTATTAAACATCTTCAAAACAAATTGTTTTTTATTATTGGATTTACTGTTCGGAAAAGAACAATCAATATTTGAAAAATCCAGGACTTATCATTGAATATATATGTATATATATATATATATATATATATATATATATATATATATATATATATATATATATATGTATATATGTGTATATATGTGTATATGTATATGTGTACATGTATATATGTATATGTGTACACTGTACATATGTACATGTTTATAAATGTATGTTTGTATGTATATATGTATATATGTACATGTATATATATATATATGTATATATTTATATATGTACATCTGTATATATATATATATGTATATTTTTATATATATATATATATATATATATATATATATATATGTGTGTGTATATTTATATATATATATATATATATATATATATATTTATATATATATATATATATATATATACTTTTTTCTTTTTTATCTATTTAATATCTAGTTTTTATAATCTTTTCTATCTTTCATATTCTGTTTATTGTTAAGTGTTGCTGTTCTGTTAATTTTTTGTTATATCAATTTTTATACTGTTTTTAGATCGACTGACGTTGAAACGTTTGGAATTAAAGATTATTTATAAATCTTTGCCTTTTTTTTGTTTGATGTATCGCCCTCAAGAACTCACTCATATATATATATATATATATATATATATATATATATATAATATATATATATATATATATATATATATATATATATATAATTAAAAATAAATGATTTAGCATAAGTAATTTTCTTGCTAATGTGGCTTACAATTATTATTGCTTTGAAAATCTTCAGAACATTTTTTTTTATTTGAGAGTTCATTTGAAAAAAAATGTGAATTCTGTATTATATTTTCTCCATCATCTGTGAATATATTACTTTTTTTCCTTTCTTTTGTATGTAGTTCATTGTTATGTACATTTTTCTCCAATATTAAAGAAGATTCATTTAGACTTTGGGAGCAATCTCGATGCCCCAAGCTACTTATCATATATACATTTAAATCCTTGTTATTGTAATCAAATTTATTATTTGTTGCAATCAGACTAAGAAATTCACTTTCTAATTTATGTCTGAAACTATTTTTTTTAAAAGTATTGTGACAACCTGATATATTTTTACATTTAGGAAACAATGCAATTTCATCACAAATCAGCTTCTCTTGACTGTTTATTACTACAGACAATTTCTTTAAATTATTGCTAGATTCTTTATTACTATCATCAGCATATTTTAAGAAATTTCTTTCCAAATGTGATATTGATAATGATTCATTCATTTCATCTTTAAAATTATTTGATTTTAAGTCATCATTAATTTGTTTATTACATGTGAATTATTTGGAACACTGTTATTTGATTCTATACTTTGAAGAGAATTATAATCAAAAATATCAAAAGATTCAATCAAAGTATTTTTGCCTGTAGAAGTATCATGTTTTGATAAACTATTTAAGTCATTAAAAAAAACGATTAAGGCAAAAATTTGAAGGCATTGTTTCATGATATGTTTCATATTCAGTCACATTTCTATTTGCTCTAATATGTAAAGAGTTCTCACTAATAGCTGACTCAAATTCATCTTCTTTGCAAAATTTAATACTATCCATATTATCTTTCTCATTTTCTTCATAAAAACTTTTATTGTCTCTATGATAGCTTTCTTCACAATCAGAAAACAAATCAGGAGATTTGCAATATTCAATCCGATATGATACTTGCAAGTTATTATTCAAATTATTTAATGGTTGGAATACACTTGAGGCAGTGTTTAAAATAACACTTTTTGAATCTTTTTTCATTTTTACGATACAATTTTTTAAATGTTGCTCCTGGTATTTTAACATTTCATGCAGCTGTTTATCAGTTTTATTCGATATTACCATATTTGCCCCCGTATCTTCATTCACCCATTTTGAATTAGCGTCACATACATGTCCACTTCGACCAGGAATACTATCCCAATCTTTTAAAAGTGAGTCAAAAACACTGTCATCTATGTGTTACTAATGACAAACCATTATAACTCAGCAATCCATCAGCACTCACTTTATATAAGTCATTTATCTTCGAAACATGGCATAATATAATGTCAGAATAGATTCTAAATTTTGCATATTTGTCAGATTGTGATGAGTACATTTTTGTTCATTCAAAATATGAACAATATTGTGCTCCATAATTTGATTCTGCAGTTCTGTATTTCTTTGAAGTAATGCTGATTTTATGTTATTTAATGCAATATTCACTCTATTTGAATTGACAACTCGAGGTTTTGAATTTTTAAAACCAAATTGCTCAAGTGTTTGCTTAAGAGTGTGCATTCGAACTTGAGTATTTGGTAAACTGCGTATATTATAATCATTTGTTGATAATGATAAGGCCAGGGCAACTTGTGTATCTTCCGGATTAAATCCATCAATTAATGATTGTTCAGTATAGGCTTCCATAAGTTTATCCTCATAATTAGATACCTTAGCTAAAGCTTTTTTTATTTTGGTTGCTTGTTGTCATTTTTTCTTCTACACTTCCTGTTTTTACTATTCTTTGCATAATGTTTTTGAATACTTGGGCTTTTAGTGGGATTTGTTAATTTCAAGTCAACAGTTTCATTAAAATTCATATAAGGCTCTCTATCACCAAATTCACCTGCAGTCTCTAAACAAGTTTTATCATTTAATGCAAGTATTTTGTTTTCACTATTAGCCCTTCTAGAAGATGCAGGACATTCAAAATATCTGATTAACATTTGACTTTCAAACTTTTCACTGAAATCAAAAGAAAGTTCAATCAAACTTAATACACATGGAAATCTAAATTTGTTCTGGACAAATTTTAATTCAACTATTATTACAAGCTAAAAAAATCCATAAATATTTCACAACCCTTGAGAATTAAAATATATTTACTCATGTAAAAGACAAGTAATACATTACATGACCAAGCTCCAATTATTAATGTAAATTTTTAGGTTATGACAGAAAATTAAATATAAATTGATTTCATGTCCAAACATTAAAAAGGCATATTAATAAACGTTATAATTTTCAAAGTATTTTATTTACTTAATATTTAAATTCAATATTTTGACAAACATAAGTTAATCTAACATATTGATAAATAATTTTTATACCTATTATTAGTTGATTTCATCTTTGATGAATATGCAACACTATTCCAAAATTTTTATTTACAAAAAGCACATCAATCATTGATCTTTTTCTTCTTCTCTACCCTGTTTAATTAAATCAGAAGGTGTCAGTGGGGTGAAAGACATTCTAAGTTTTTTCTCAATTTCATGATCAGTCGGTGTAAAGAAAAATTCTTTACATTTCAATCTCGTGTTTTCTGATACAGAGAAGCTGAAATGATTACACATTTTATGGACAAGATATTATTGCTATTTAAGAAAATCATCTATTATTTTCCAAATAGTTTTAAAATTCGTTATGGTTATAATTACACAAAATCTTATACATAATGCAAATCAAGTAGATATTGTTTCCGGCCCTTACTAAAAAATCGCCCCAATTAAACTGCCAACAATTACACCGGAATATCCAAAATTATTTCTAACTTTATAAGCAGGCGTCCCCCAAGCTCTTCTTGGTTTTCTCGAACTAACGTCAATCCCTCCAGCCATTTTTGCAAAATGTCACCAGGGCTCGTAATAATACATAATGCAGACGTTTCACTCTTCAGTTTTTTTGATTCGGAAAACTAGGTGATGTATCACACATTAGGCGCTGGTCATCGCATATTGTTCAGTAGCCCCACCATAGACCTTGGATACATAGACCTTAGATAGATTGTCTTATTAGATTTATATTATTAGACCTTATTAGTTATTTATATTATTAGTCTTATTAGACCTTATATTAGATTAGATTGATAGGTCTATGAGCCCCACCCATAGATAAGTAAACATAACCCAGTCATGGCCGGTAATCTCCGAACAAATGTCTGTAGTCCGAGTTTAGTTAGAGCCCCTTTCGCCGGTCGCGCTTATTTTCATTTTGATCGAATTATCGAATATGACAGTGACAGAGATGTAAATCAAACGTGGCGTCAATTGTAATAATTTTTTTGTCAAGTGATTACCTAGACAATATAATAAACGCTTGTTAAAGTAAAAAACAAATAAGCTGTATAAGTGCATTGTTTAACGATGAAGAAACACCAAGAAAAATGCATGTATTATGTAGTTCCAGCAAGAAACGACGAAGTAAGAATAAAATGGTTAATAATATTTGCCGGCTTTCAATCTAAGTGAGTACTGTTATTAATATGCATACTTTAAATTACTTTCATTTGATTGTACTATTCTGATATGATTACAGTTAAATAATTCAGAAATATTTGAGACATTTAACTGTATCAATACTAGAAGTTTTAAGGGTATAAATAGACAAAGAGAATTCGTATCAGCTCTCTAAAAGGTATGTTATTGAATAACTAAATATAAATTATTCTTGTTCTAATTATGTAGGTTCATAACTAATAATTCTACATCGATTTTTTCAGCAGTTTAAAAGGAAAATACGCATAATTGTAAAATGTTTAGACGGTTTACTAAACACATTCACAAGTATACAAGTATTGATATGAGATGAATGAACACAGGAAAAAACAATAAGAATGAAGTCTGAAATGTGCTGAAATCTTTGCTGATCTCCCACTAATATTGAACATTAGGACTCGTAATTATATATTAAGTCAGTTTAGAGAACATACTAAAAACACTAATGAAATAATTAATGGTGAAATTCTAGCTAGTGTTCAATGTATGTATTTAAGTCAAATAAAGCAAATTTTCAAATTAAAAAAAAAATCTAGCTAGTGCAAAGGTTAATTTAGGTTTGGCTATGTCACAGGAAAAGTTTATGAGTGTTGATAATTGCATTTTGATATTGCAAGAAATATTATTATCTGCGTCGTTTAATGATGATAAAGGGAATCACATTATATAGATTTTCAGGAACGGTCAAATGACAGGCAAAGTATAATCGTTGATCTTTTTAACTTCCCGAAGGAGAAGTTTATGTTTTCATAAAAAAATCCGAATTGCTAATTTTATGTTTTCTCGACGTTTAAAGCCATTCTGAATCGAATGAGACCAAGTTTGGAAAAAGTATGTGTGTGTGCGTGTATGTACAGATTTTTTGCCGTAAATCGACAATTTCTCGAAACGGCTAGACAGATTTCAAAAATTTAAAAGCCACTCGATGTATCTCGATGAGAACTTTGTGCGACGATCGGCCAAGCCGTTTCTTTATAAATCGCAGAAAAGTGAAAAATTTTTCGTCTACGTTTTAGCCCGCAATTCTAAATCGATCTTGAAAATTCAAAAACCGTTTGAAAGATATTGGTTGGGAATCGTGGTGATTAGTTTCTGGTAGAGATCGGCCGGGCCGTTTTCTTGTAATAAAGTTTAAAAAAAAATTCGACGATTTTTATGATTATTTTTTTGACGGTAGATACCATAGTCTTCTAGATCATACTAAAATATTACGGCGCTACGACAACTGGTTTAGCCTTGAAAATTTGTCAAAGTTTGCAAAAATTAGTATGATCTTTTTGGCACTTGTCAAAATTAGAACTTTCTTCGACGTTTGCTCAAAAACGCCTAAACCGATTTCAGATATTTAAAAAGCATTTGATGTATCTCGATGAAGATTATCGTTTCTCAGTTTTGTGCGACGATCGGCCGAGCCGTTTCTTTGTAATTTGGAAAAAAGTGTTAAACCTTTCGTCCACATTTAAGCTCATACTACCAAACCGATTTTAAAAAATCAAAAGCTGTTCGAAAGATATTAGTTGGGAATGATACTGATTAGTTTTAGGTGAAAATCTACCGAGCCGTTTTTTTGTAATTAACTGTTGACAAAAAAAATTATGCCGATTTTTATTGAACTTTTTTTGGCGATTTATATATCATGGTCTTATAGAACTTACTGAATTATTACGGCCTTACGACAAGTAGTTTAATTTTTACCAATCATCAAAGTTTGAGAAAATGAGTAGTTTTTTTGACGTTTGTTAAAAATAAAATTAGACGATATAGTTGGTATAACGATAGTGTACTTGGTCTTGAACATAGTAAAACATTAAAGTTCTACGGAAACTGGTTCAATTATAATTATTGATTAATTAAAATTATTGATTTTTGAAAATTTGCTTTTAGAAAATACTCGTTCGTTCGTTTGCAATGATGTGTAATAAATCCACTCGGAATACTTATAATCACTCATAAATTAATTTATTTTTTATTGATTAAGTC